ATAAAGCTAGTACGATCGTTCTGAAGAGCAGTAGGTTACTGAAATACCAGACTGAAATAGATCATCGCATATGGTGGCGAATGTAGTCCAGTAGTATGAATAACAATACTTAGTTTTTAAATATATCATCTTTAAACAGATAGGTGGAATCATGTAATGTTAACAATGTTGATAAACGAGGGCGTAATGGTTTCTTATTTCTGTAATTCTTGAGGTATGAGAATGTGCTTACAGCAAGAAACTAACATTTCGTGTAGGAATGTCTGATTGAATACGAAAACACGTGATATTCACACAACATCCTTATCGTGTCATTTTTAGACTGTAATAAATTGCTGAAATAAGGGGGCGACAAACTGTCCTTAAAAATAAAGTGCACCTAGGGAGCAAAAAAAAGCGATCAAAGACAGCCATGGATTTTTGAAGATTTGTCTTTGCTAGAATCTGTCTTATCAGATTACCGTCAATTTGACAGTTTGAGTTGAAAATGCAGCGATCAAAGACATACTTTAAAAAATACACGGCTATCTTTGATCATGTTTTGCTCTCGGTATATATACATCATTTTCATAATGTTGATCACCAATTTACGCTTTTTCAACATTTTGTAAGTGAATATGACGGTGGCATTGTTAGTTAGGTCTGAACAAGCAGGGCATGGGTGTGAATAATAAACGTTTGTTATTATTATTTAAGTAGAATTTGGCAGATTTCTACAAGTTTTAGTGAAAAAGGTTATTCACGCGAAAAAGCGACACGAAACTGTGTGAATGAATACACGAAAACGATTTAAGTGAACAAATCAGGATCTCCGACAAGTGGCCGTGGGTAGTTCTGAAACTCGGTGAACGAGATGCACGCCAGCCGTAAGGCATTAAATGATCTGTGATAAGACTTGCAGGAAACAATAACAATATGAAGCGGTTAGTAGTGTAGACAACATCTGCATAAACATATAAAACAAATCATAAGTTTTAGAAGCAACTAACAAAGTACATATTAATAGCACTGTAAATGCATAAAAGAACATTTAAGCGTCCGATTTTTTGCCACTTTGAACATTTTTTTCAAGGTTATAATAATGCATTAGTAGCGGTTCGCTGTTAAGAAATATTTAAAATTTTGGTAGAACATTAATGTGAAAGTAAGTAATTGCCACTAATTTTCTTCTTGACATAACTCTCATACATGTTGCACTATAGTTTTATAATAATTATGTAGTCTATTAACTTACCGTATACTTACGTACAACAGCTGAATACTTTTTTAATTTATTCTTACAGGACGTTTAAATTTACAAACTGTCGGTTATCGTTATGTTTTTCAAATGGGATATAGTCCAAATTTTACCCTTTTGCAGTGACGTCACAAAAAAACAAAACACGCTGTCGTAAAGATATGGGCCGTACTTGAAAATTATGTTAAAATCAGTTTGCATTGTATTAAAGAAAAGTGGAAAATTATTGTTATCAGTATATTTGCTAGTGCAGGAGGTGGGGAGGAATTTTACCTACTCTGCATTTCAGCTTTGGCCGAGGCTTTTTCTTTTATGAAATTGTTTTACCATTTTTTATGTAAAATCATTATTAGAGAGAACTTTCATTCCTACCTCAATTTCTTTTAATGGTGAAATTAAAATTATTGTAAATTTTGACATATTTTATATTGCTTACATAGTCCGAATTTCTTAAAAATAAATTTTTCCGCAAAAAAAAAGTAATACAAAACTATAAACCTTTATATAAACTATGGTAAGAACAAAGGTAGATACAAAAAGAATCAAAATTTACTTCAAAAACTAGTCGCTAACGTACCTAACTAATCAGTATCAGAAGGAAAATTGTTAATACCAGGGGTGTCACAAACTTTCATGGTATTCCAAGCTCTCCAATGATTTTAACAAAATGATCAACATAATGTCTCCATTGTTCAGTTGAAACATCATGAATTGCAATGTTCCAAAGACGAATTATTGCTTCTGTTTTTTAATTAGTTGAATCTACTAATTGGTCGTATTGTTGCTTACAGTGGTTCCATACCATCTCAATAACATTGAAATGATAATCATATGGCGGTCAAAAAAGTGATGTACAAGATATATGCAATGATACTAGATGAGAAGTTACGAAAGGCAGATGGAAGCAAGGGGTATGTTACCAGATGGTCAGGCAGGGTTTAATGGGAAGAGAAATAAGGAAAGAGGGTGGACGAATGTACGCATTGTTCATAGATTTCAAAGCAGCGTTTGATAGCGTGAATAGAGAGAAAATGTGGGAGTATTTGAGGAGAAAGGGAGGAGATGCGTACCTGGTAACGAAAATGGAAGAAATATATGAAGAAACAATAAGTGAGGTGAGAGTGAATGGAATAGCGAGCGAAAGTGTTTATACAAATAGAGGAGTGAGATATACATTAAAGAGCAATAACTCAGATAGAGCGCATATTCAAGAAATGGTCCAAAAAGCGAACAAAGTGATAGGAATAGTATGGGGAATAGGAGAGAGAAAATTTTGACATGATTATAATAGAAGAATGTTTGATAGTTTGATCAAAACTGTATTTATGTACGGAGCTGAGATTTGGGGCTGGAGGGAAAATGAAGAAAAATACTTAAAATTCACATTGGGATTGGGAAAGTATACGCCGGGATATATAGTGAGAGAAGAAACAAAAAGGGAGAAAATGAGAGTGGAAGCGGGTAAAAGGGAGAATGTTTGAAAGAAATAAGAAAGGAAGGGGGAAAACATGTTTGGAACGAAAGAGACAAGTATTATGAAGGAAAGGGATATGCATGTGAAGAAATAGAGAGAATGAGAGAAATGGGAAGGAGTATGAAAGGAGAACTGAGTGTAAGAGATAAGGATATAGATAAACAAGAACGCAGATCGAGAATATCGGAGTGTAGAGTATAGAAAAATAGTAAAGGATGAAATACCAAAGTACACACACAGAGAGAGTATAAAGGAGAAAAGAATAATGGCGTGATTTAGGTGTGGAAATGAAGAGAAAAAGAATAATTTTTAGATGGATGAAATTGATAGAAGGCGTAGGATATGTTGGAGAGAGGGAGCAACAATAGAGCATATGCTGGAAGGATGTGAAGGATTGAGAGAATCAGAGGAAACTAGGGAAGAAGTGCTAAATGAGGATGGAAGAGGACTGGACTGGATGAAACAAGTACGGAAGATAAGGGAACTAACAGGTGGGCAAGAGAAAGAATAGAACAATTATTATTATATAAAACTCGAATATTTATTTTATTTTATTGATTTATTTGTATTATGTAGATTAAGTTAATTTGTACCCCTACTGTGAATCTTATTAAGCCTGTAAGGCAAATAATAAATTAAAATTATTATTATGACAATCATATGGCCGAAGTCTTAAAATTTTCTGATCGAAAGACTAAATTATAAATTTTAGTTTGTGTTTTTTTTGATACAATATACCAAATTTCATTCTTCGTTGCATGTTCAGGAAAATCGACGTTCTTACTTTTTAACGAATCAATTAATGTCTGTTTTATCCAATATGTATTTGGCATTCCTTTAATTAACTCGTTATGATAGCTAGTATTGTCCAATGTAATAAGAGACTTTTGTCTTAAATTTGGAACTAACTGAACTAAACCCATGTTTCGTAAAAAAAAACTGGTTGGAAGAGATGTTACGATTCTTGATTTTTAATAAATTTACGTAGAAATTGTAGGCTTTTTAGTTGCATGTCCAGTAATGCAATTAACTACTTTCTGTTGTTAACTCTCTTCCACCTAAAACTGATATTTTTTCACCAATTTCTGAGGGAACTACCACAATAAGAAAAATTCATTTTCTTCTTCAATTTTCTGTGTGACGTCGCCATTGTAATCTATTCTTCCTTAGTATACATTCTACAGATGGCGTCCCTAATGTAGTATTTTAAGCCGTCGGTTACTTTAATTTTTCGTAATTTCATTTTTTCAGACATGTTTTTTTTGTAATCATCTGTTGGTTAATTATATTAATATTTGTGACGGTTTTTTCAGAAATTTTCAAAGCTAATTAAGCTCGAAATAGCACATTTGTAGCGGAACTATGGTAATCTTAACCTGGAGAAATGCTTCTTTTTTCTCTTCAAAGAAAGTTGCGACATTTAAAATGCGCTTGCTCGTTATACCGCGACATAATTACTGAATTCGGCCAAATTTGACAAATGTTTTGTTGACAGAATTCGACATGCTAAACAATTGAATTTTCTTTGTTTCATTCAAAATCTATGAGTTGAATAAAAATTGACAGTTGCTACGTCACAGTAAAAGGGTAATACATATTTTAATTTTACCTGTATTTTGTAAGATTTTTGAACCTACTTCTAAGTAAGCTTTCTTTTGATACATACAACAAAACTTTTTGTCATTCATTCTGATTGTTCTTTCGGAACCATTGGTACCAGCAAATCTGGTATTAGATGCAAACTTATCCCAGGACAGATTCAAACTTTGTATAAAACGTAGGGTGTCCCGTTTCGAAAATAGTGGAAAACCGACAATTTTGAAATTTTATCACTCTGCATAACTGTCTGAACCTATTTCGACTTTTTGTAGGTGTGGTAAATCAAAATGACTAAAAATTTCTGTGTAGTGTACTTTGAATTTTTTAAAATAATTGTAAACTTTTTCAATAGTCCACCACAAATAGATCTTGCCCCACAGGACCGTTAGGACATGAAATATCCATAACATTATTGGGCCCACATTAACATTAGTGCAGTTTATAAGTTCTAGAAATAGATCATATTCAGTACCAATTTTACAATGAACATGTAATGCGTATAAAATAACTGTCAGAAATCCCTTAGATACACAGGAAGACTAGAGTAGGTTAAAATTTGAATCATATAAAAGCATGGTGACCTGCACGCTGCTTCAACAAGTGTTAAACTAGTCGAGTACGTCAGGATCAATTACTCATCTTAATGTATAGAATAATTTTATAATTCCAAAATAAGACAAAGAAACTTACCTCATTTCAATTTCCTTTGCCACCTGAAGTACGTATTCAAGATCGGTCTGTAAAGAAAAAAAAAATAATTAAAGAATGAAATAAAGCAAATAAATATTTAATTAATTAAGATCCACTTTCACTAACGACATTATAGTACATACTACAGTGTAATACTAATATGTAGTAACAGTAGTATATTGTCGAATTTTTGGGGCGCCGTTCCTGATTTGATCAATAAAATTGGAATAATATGGCAACATCGCATTTGAATTTCAAAAATAAACTACGGTTATAAAGCCCAGAAAGAGGGTAATAAGAATTTTGAAAAATATATAGCGTATCCCATTTAAAACTAAGCTGTGGGCTAGGACTCTACAACTTTAGTCTCTGATTTTTTTTCTCTTTAATTAGGCTAGCGCAGCTCCGCTTGAATTACGACACATTATTTTTCAGCCCCTGATAAACTTCATTTTGTTCATTTACCCCCTCCCCCACAATGAACCTGTTGAACTTAAAAACTCACAGGGCTCCCATACAAATTTTCACCCCCTATTTTACCCCCTTTGGGATGGAATTTCCTAAAATTCTTTCATACTGGGTGCTTACATTACAAAAAGAACCTTGTGTCCAAATTTCATGTTTCTAACCGCAGTAATTTAGGTTCTGTCAGGACAAACACTTTTATATGCGTATATGTAATGTAATTAATGAGATATCGAGAACCGCGTGCTTAGTGACACACCCGGTATATTATTAAAGTTTACCATTGTAGTATTGATCGTTAAAATGAAAAATTGGAAGGGTGGAACTAATAAAATATATTGAAATTTATGTAAATAAGCTTTAAAACTTTGACTATCATTATATTTTTCAATTCTTACCGGCATTATTTTTTATTTTTTCTTTTGTGTAAGAAGAAATTACATTTATATATGGATCTACTATGAACAATATTATTCTGGTTTTAATACCCATATGCATAGTTTATTTTTTAAATAACAATACATATCATTTTTATAAATAAGGTCCACAGTGGTAGTTCCATATGATTTAAGAATACAATATCTCTCACAGCAAATATTTCAATCACTCTTCACGTATTTTTATCATTACGAACGTTTTAGCTCTTTTTGAGCAAACTTCTTGGGCGAATACTACTAATAATATGTAAGCCAAAAACTGTTTCATCTTCTACTCATTTCATCCATAGATGGAAGCAGCAGTGAGAATACCAAACGTTATTGACTTGAATTGAGATTTCGCATTATTGTATTAATTTTTAAGTGGCGAAAATCTTGTCTGCGCAATAGGCAAGAAACGTTCTTATCGCGCTGATTAAAAAGGAATTTATGGAATTTTCACCATGGTATAACTTCACCCACCAAACAAAAATTATGTTAATTCTAAACTAATTTATTTCATCGTTAGCATCTATTATGCATGAATTCAGCGGGATTCTTATTTTTTCTGACTAGAAAAAATCTAACTAAATATGTTGGGATTCACGCTTTAGTCCTTGCGACTTTAATATTTGTATATTTTGTTACACATAGGTACAGAGTGAAGATGAATCAAGTATATAGGATTTAATCAACCGAAAAATGAAATTTACATGATATTGTATATTTTCCCCAACAGCAAGAAGTAAATTAAAATTTTAAGTCTTCAAGAATTCACATACCTCAAAAATCAATTTTCAGAGAGTTAATTTTCTATACACTTGAGTGACTACGACGGCTTTTGAGCTTTTTTCTTTGCAATAGTTTCCTCAGGTTTCTTATTATCTGCGGATCAGAAACTAAATGGTGTAAAATTACGTCCATAATCATCTCATTTCCCTGGCATTGTTATTAGGATCCATTTTAAAATGAGAGCAGGATGTTTTGTGATTAAGCAACGTCATTTCCAGTGGTTAATTTTTCGTAAGAGCCTACAGCAAACAAGTTAAGAATTTGTTTTTCGAAGAAAAAATTATCCCCCGTTGCTCTGTAGAGCGGTATGGTTGCAAGCTGATTACGTTTAATAACGATAGCAAATCGCCCGACTTAAAAACTTAAATTAGTGTTTACTTAGTCTTTACTAAATTCGTGGATAATTTTAACGAAGAGAAATTAATAAGAACGGAAAGAATTTTAATTTGTAATCCCTAACGGCTAAAGAGCATTCATTAATCTACTGTGCAGAAACAAAAGAAAATTAATGGTTCTAATTTCATGGTTCAATAAGGTTCTCCCGCTAGTGTTCTAAAACTGTCAACTATACGCGAACGAAATTTTGATCGCCGAACTCATTTAATTAGGCATTTAATTAAGTACTCTGCTTTTTAATCCAAAAATAAAGCTTGTATGACGAGAAAAAACAACCCTCATCACCCATTAAACGCAGCACTCGACTTCTATTTATAAAGTTCGACCGGGTTTCGATGATTAATGAAATGAAATTTTAATCAACAGGCTCCAGAGATTTAATGGTTGTTCGTGTTCCAATTCCGCGAAGACCGAGCCTTCAGGTTTTATCACATGTTTGACGTTATTCCGCGCGATTTTAACCCAACCCTCTTTAAAAATTTAAACGCATTAATAAATTACGATTTGGCACAATGCGCGCCTGCGAACCTTTCAAGTGTCGACGGATATTCGATGTTAATTGCATGGGAGGTTCTAGAATTTTTATATGGTATTAACGCAGTTCCATTTTCTAGGGCATTCGTACTGGGGTTTTAGTGTTTCGTTCTACACAATGGTGTTGATGTGCAAATAAGTTGAAATAAATGAACTGTCTCACCACGATTTTCACAATGGATTTGCTTTTCAATCGTCAATTACCCTTCTGCAATCCCATTATCCGAGCACTATCTGTCTGACTCCCTCAAGCTGTTTCATTGTTTAAATTTATTCCATTAAAATTGAAATTGTCTACTTTAAGAGCCAGTGTAACTTTATAATAAAATGAGTATTTCAGTGTTAAGTAATTACGGATACAAAAAGTTAACATCATAATGGCAAAAGAGCTAATAAGGAATTTCATCATTTCTTAGGTCCTTGTTTTCATCATTCTGACTATACTCAAAATGTACTGAAACTGTGATTTGGTGTCTTTATTCAACAAAAACGTTAAACTTATCTAAATTTACGACCTACTTATTTAGACCTTAGCAGATTAACATTTTTTTTCTTTTTGGCTACCACGATTGATTGACGTGGTTGTTTGGTGTTACATCTGACATGTATTTTTCATGCATATTTCTTTGCCACTTTTACACAATTACTTTCAAAATTTCAAAAGCAATTTCGACGCAAATAAAATTCGCAATCAGAAAATGCTACTTGTTCCAACGAAAATATGTTTGGTGGTAATAGACAATGTACATGATATTTGTCGAATTTAGACAAACCACTGTGAAATGCAAGGGTAATCAGTTAATCACATTACAGAATTTGATAACAATTTGCGGAAAAAGAACTGTGGACGTTATTCAACTTTTTAGATTTGATCGGAAAAAACCATTTTTGACAGACGAGACATTATGGGATAGTGATTAAGAGGTCCTTACATTAAATTACCACCATACCATTGTCAATACAACCCTACTGAAATGGCCTGGAGATTTTGTAATCATCTTATAATAATCACGTAACTTTTCGGTCTTTATCCAAAAATAAGGACGAGATTTATGGCTGAACACAAATGTCAGTAATGTACTCCAGACATATAACACAATTTTAGTAAACATTGTAAATAACTTGCGTCTAAGTGGAAAAGACGTAGGAAATTTGTCGTTTGAAAACATACCTCCATTCATTATTTCACTGGAGGAATCTGATTGAAATCAGAATTAGAAAATGGTGATAAGTAAGCTGCTGGGGTGGCTCACATTTGTACAACAAAATAATAGATGCTGAGTTTGAACAATAGGTAGAATAAAATTATAAGTAAGTAAGTAAGTGAAAACAACCAAAACTCTTACTTTTTTCTTAATATAAGTACGTATTCTTTTTTTTTACAACAAGAAACTTAAAACATGTTCAAAATTTTTGTAGGGAAATATGTATTTTGAAATTACGCTCCGCCTCTTGGTCTGACAACGAATAAACAATTCATCATAATTGACATCGGGACTTTTTTTGTGACTCACAGTTTTATCTGAACACGGTAGTTAAATATGTTTTTCGTTTCTTGTTGGGAAAAGAAGATTTTGTGTATTAAAAAAAAATTACACAAAATATGAACCCCGCCCACCCGCCCCTTTCAATTGTGACGATTTTTTTATTCATCGTCAGCAGAGGGCGGAGCTTAGCTGCATAAACATTTCTCTACAAGAAAATACCACGTGAAATATGTCATTGAAAGAGTAAAATTTTGCAAAGAAATATGGATTTTGCAATTAAACTCCGCCGCTCGGTCTGACAACGAGTAAAAAAATCATTACAACAAAGACAGGGTGGGCAGGTGGGGCTTATATTTTGCCCTTTGTTCTTAATATACGTATTTTTCTATTTTTCTTTTCACAACAAGAAACTTAAAACATGTTCAAAATTTTTTTAGGGAAATATGTATTTTGTAATTACGCTCCACCCCTTGGTTTGACAACGAATAAAAAATTCATCATAATTGAGATCGGGACTTTTTTTTAGTTACTTACAGTTTTATTTAAACAGGACGATACTTAAATATGTTTTTAGTTTCTTGTTGGGAAAAGAAGATTTCGTATATTAAGAAAAAATGTACAAAATATAAGCCCTGCTCACCCACCCCCTCTCGATTGTGATGATTTTTTTTATTCATCGTCAGCCGAGGGCGCAGCTTAGCTGCAAACACCTCATTTCTCTACAAGAAATTACCATGAGAAATATGTTGTTGAAAGAGTAAAATTTGCAAAGAAATATGGATTTTGCAATTAAACTCCGCCGCTCGGTTTGAAAACGAATAAAAAAAATCATTACAATTGGGACAGGGTGGGTAGGTGGGGCTTATATTTTGCCATTTCTTCTTAATATACAATTTTGCCCTTTCTTCTTAATATACAAAGTATTAAAAAAAATAAACAAAATATAAGCCCCGCCCA